AACATAACATGTGAGACCTGGACACTTACTAAACAAGCTGAACAGCGCATACATGCCTTTGAATACAAATGTTATAAACGGGTTCTAAAACTGCTGAAAGAGACGTCTGGCGATCTCTCTGGCAAACCTCTACACCCCAAGGTAGAAGAGAAACGACTAAGTAAGTAAGTAATAAACGGGTTCTAAGGATATCATGGGTAAACAACAAGAACAAGTGCATCCAAACTTCAAGAACTGAATACTGGAGAAAGTTGGCTTTTAAAGGCGTTAAAACATAGAGAATTGAAATATTTTGGTAACTTGAAACGTCACGAAAGTTTAGAAAGAACAATAATAGAGGGGTATATGTCTGGGAAGAAAAGGCCAAAGATGGGTGCAAAAGGCAAAGTAAAGGTATAGTCGGTGGATATGAACCAGCGTCATTGCACACGGTTATAAACCATAAGTGCTCTGCCACTAGTGCGGACAGCTGATAAAAAACTGTCCGCCTATGTCGCAGTCCGCAGGCAAACGGGTAGCTACAACGACGTTCCTCCATTTACACTAGAGTGTTGACTCTGGTACTCATCTCCTAGAGGCTGGGTGAACCTCCCGGTTTCAAACACCAGCCGTGAGCTGCTGTAAGTCGCAACTGGATTTGAAAGCGAGTCTCATATCGACTGTGCTAACATGTCCCCTTAGAAGATGGGTGCAAGATGTCGCGGATGATCTCCAGATGGGTGTATTAGTCACAGACATCTTGCTTGTGATCGAGAAGTTTTCCGGAGGGTTGTTATGGGAACATGGTTCTGGAAAGGACAGGCTACTGGCTAATATCTTTCCTGGTTGATTTCATGAAATATTGTAGTCTCATTGTTGTGTGATCTTTGTTTGCTATTACATAGGTGCCCTGACACAGGGCTCGCACAAAGGACTTGTCACGTCCGGCTCATGACTGTTTAATAACCTCGCTTCCTTATATTGGGCCTCTTACGCAACACTTTAGAACCTGGGTTGTTTTTTTTAACGAGTTAATGCCTTTTTACGACGTTTGTGGTGGAGGTAAGGAGTCCTTGGGTCTGGGGCCGCATGACCCGTGCTGTCGCCACAACAGTGCAGATAAGACTTATTTTTTGCCCCGACAGAAAAAAATTAAAATCACGTCTTAAGTGGGATTTGAAGCCAGGTCTTTCACGATTTGGATTCATCATATGATTTGCTGACTGGCGTGGGCGATCATGCTTCTCCACAATCCGCGATCTCCTGCAGCATGTATCAGTTTGTGTGCCGACACACCTCCATGCGATAAGACTGTCGAGAATTTTCTGTCGTTATCTTTCAGTCGCTTCCCAGTGGTCATAACAGGATCCATTGTCCCTGTGGCCGAAAAATGCTGCCCCTGCTGATGTATGCGGGCTCCCGCCTCTTTCTAAACCTCTTTATGGCTGTCCAAGGTAATTTGAGCATTTTTCTTGAAAACCACATCTGAAGCCCCACGTTATTGTTTTGCCAGCTTACCAATTTTCCAGGACTCACAACATGTTAAAACTGGACGTATGTAGCAAGAAATAATTTTTTCTAGGCTTCAATGACAGATATATATATTAGGGCTGTACCGAATAGTGATTTTCACTATTCGGCCGAATACGAATAGCTGGACCAACTATTCGGCCGAATACGAATAGTGAATCATCATCATTAGGGGCTGTGCCGACTGGAGCGGGCGATTATGCTTCGCCACAATCTGCGATCTCCTGCAGCATTTATTAGTTTGTGTGCTGACACACCTCCGTGCCATGCAACAAGACTGTCAAGAATCTTTTCTCATGTCTTCCTCTATCCCTCCTTCCACATATCTTTCCAGTGGTCACCACATGTTCCATTTTCCCTCATCTTATAACATGGCCGAAAAATGATGACTGTCTCCCTCTGATGTCTGTTAGTTGTCTTTGAGCTCCCGCCTCTATCAAAACCTCTTGGTTGCTTTTTTTTTAAACATTGTTCTGTAAAACCACATCTCTGATGCGTCAAGAAATTGTTTGGCCTGCCTACTGATTGTCCAGGACTTACAGCCATATGTTAAAACTGGATGTATGTAGTAAGCAAGAATTCTTTTTCTAACCTTCAATGACAAAGATATATTGCATAAGATGTTCTTCATTTAATAAATGCAGTTTTTGCCTGTCCTATTCTGTTTCTTATCTCAGTTATGCATCTTCCATCTGATATGATCCATGTGCCCAGATACTTAAATTTCTGTACTTGTCCCAAAATAAAACCATTGACTTTTATTACACTTTTAGGAATAGTTATTTTCTTTGATACCACCATCTGTCTTCCCACTATTCAAACTGAGGCCCATTCTACCACTTTCGTGTATAAAATAGATCTAAAAAAAATACACATCCATAATGTCAAATGTACGCTGAAACTTTAAAAATGTAGTACAGAATAGTAAACATTTAATGCTTTGCATCCTTCAGTCAGCCAGTCTGTGGTAACTAATACCTGGGAATGAAAGTATTCTTAGTTTTATAACAAGGAACTAAACTTGTAAATTGTCACTGACAGTTTAGTTAATCCATGAAAGTGGCATTAGCTTTCAATTCATGTTGTCAACATTAAGGCAGCTTCTTGTCTCACTGAAGGTATTTTCCAGCTGTACTAAACAGACGTTCACTCGGTACGCTCGTTGGTGGTGCACAAAGATAACGCTTGACAGTATGAACCAAGGTGGGAAATCTTCATGTTTATTTGCCACCAGTCCAGAAACGGGTGTGAGGTAACCACTATTCGTATTCGACCCGACCGCAACTATTCGGTCGAATACCGAATAGTTATTAGGTCCACTATTCGGCCCCGAAGCGAATATTCGATACAGCCCTAATATATATATTGCACACGATGGTCTTCATTCTGTAAAAAGCGGTTTTTGTCCTATTTCAAAATGAAATAAAGATGTTAATTATAGACATTGCTGTTAGTAAATTTGTGAGTTTATCGCGGAAGAAAGAGTGAACACGTCTTGTGTAAAAAAAAAAAATTCTGGGAAACCCCAAATTTTAATTGGCTCAGAAAGAAGTTAATATGGCAACCCTGCCTCTACTGACTACCAGCCCCGGGATTCCCAATTTTTGTCTTCTTATACCTCAAGGCGTCAATGGAATGTTTTAAAAAACATAAGCAGTCAACTTGAAATTATTGACATCCCCCTATAGCTTGTCCTTAAAGGAGTAGGTGCAGTTTTATCCACCATGTGTTGGTCATTCCTGCAACAAGGGTTATGCTGTCTTTTGACCAGTTCCACCTGTCTCAAGCTTATTGAACAAGAAGAGTTTGTAGCCTATTATGCCCTGTTTCTTTGGTCAAGCATCGACTTTGTGATCTAGGCAGTTTTTTTTTTTTTGGGGGGGGGGGGGGGGGGGGGGTGACCAGTTGTAAATTGTGACTGTCCATCTCTTGTTCTGATCCTAGTGTTGCATGCACATCCAGTTTACAGATCAGACTTTATATGCAAGCTGTCAGTCCCTTGCCTTTCAGGCAGACGAACTCCAAAGTTCTGATAGGCAGAATCTTGGACGTCCTATATAATCAGAGAACTCATACCACAAGGAGACTGTTCTTTAGAAGAGAAATACCACAAGAAGACTGACTTTTGCTCACATCATGACAGTGGGGAAAGTTAGACGGAACAAGAACCAAACGAAGACCAAGAGAGAAAAGTCAGCAAAACATGGCATTGAAGATCAATTTCTTCTTCTTCTGCGTTCGACATCAGTCATGCTACACATTGAGTCCAGATGGGTAAAAAAAATAGGAATGTGCGTTTAAGGTCTCCACCGGTCCCCCATAGCTTCTCTCGCAATGTGGATTCCCTAGGCCAGATCCAGTCTTTGCTGGGAGAGGTAAGGGCAGTACTGCATTATGTGCTCGGGGGTCTGTCTTTCTGTTCCACAATCACAGGCAGCAGATTCTTATATGCCTATCCTGTACAGGTATGCTCGAAGACCACAGTGTCCAGTCCGAAGTCTAAAAATTGATGTTTGTTCTTTCCTGTTGAGTTTGTTTATGCTGTCACTCTCTGGTCTGTAATCTGTATTCTCCACTCCCGCTTGAAAGACTGCTTTAGTGCTGTTTTGGTTTCCTTGTAGCTCTCATTTCCTTGAATACCACAGTGGGCTGGTATCCACTGCAAGACCAGTTCTGCTTCCTTGTAGAGTAAGCCAATGTTGGTCCTTAGATCTGCAATTAGTTTGTCTTGTCACTAAGTATAACAATTTTGTGCCCTCTGTGTTCTTGAGTGATGAGATGTTGGACTGCAGAAAGGAGGGCAGTTGCCTCAGCTCTGAAGTTAGTGCAGATGCCACCTGCTGGTAGAGTTTCTGCTCTACTGCTAGAGGGGTTTAATGTATAGTCCACAACCCCCCTTTCTGACTGCATCAAAGATCAATGATATCAGAAATGACTGACTACCAACTGCAGGCAATATGTATATCATAAGAAGAATGTGAAAATAAATGCAGCTGAAAAGAGTTTGATGTTTCTCGAAGCTACCCAATCATGGACAACAACAAGATAAAACACCAAGCTAAATGTTCTAAAGTTACTTTTTATTGTAGTCACATTAACGTTAGAAGTTTTCTCAAAACATACATTCTACAGTGGAGATTCCGTGACACAAATATGTATTTGTCAAAAACAGCTGTCATTGTACAGGATGTCTTAGTCACTGTTGAAATAAACTTTTAGGGAAAGTTTAAACGGTCACCGATATCAATACCCACCCAGACAAAGATGATTACTGTAAATCTTTTGGATAATAATGTTTGCAGTTAGTTTATCTTCAACAAAAAGCGTCTGCATGTGTAGCTATCTTTATTAGAGCTGTCTTAATCTAGACAAAACGTCAGGTGCAGTTTTACCGCAAAGTGCGTCAAATTATCCTATAACTAACTACAGTGTGGAATTGTTGCACATATAATAAGACATGGAAAGTGCGATGTTAATTACTAGAAGTAATTTTATTCATAAATCCACTTCTTCTGGGCAAGACCATAGCTGACGACCTCATCAGGGGTGAACCACAAGGCAATCTCTCGCTCTGCAGTTCCAACAGAATCACTACCATGGCAGATGTTTCTGTAGACAAACAATTTAACAGATACAAATTCAGTGATTAAGCACAGCATATTTAATTCTTTACAACTTCTACCAGTGTTCAGCGAAGTAAATGCAATAAACTTCATGTTCATCCATCCATCATGTAGCAGGTCCTTTGCAGAAGTCGCTTTCATAACGGTCCGCCTGAAAGAAACTCGAATCTCACCAGCTCTCCCGCCTCATGTAATTCATACTCAAAGAGTCACCTATATCCTGTGCCCATCTTCGTGTCAGTCGGCCACTGCCCCTTCTTCCAGGTACCATGCCCTCTGCTATAATTATTTCCAATCTGTCGTGGTGCTTAATATGACCAAAACATTTAAGCTTCCGAGACAGGGTGCTGTTTATTAGCCAATCTTCCTTGATGTTAAGATCTTTCAGGATGTCAGTATTTCTCCTCTTCTTTGTCCAAGACATTTTGAGAATCTTTCTATAGCATTTCAGCTCAAAAGCCCCTATTCTCTTTCTTAAGGATAGAGAGAGAGAGTCCACAACTCACATCTGTATGTAGCCACAGGGAATTCTTATTTTGATCTTCTTGCTGAGGCTTAATTAAGGCTGTTCAATCTTTGCATTGCTATGGCCATCCTCCTCTTAATTTCTGTCAAACAGTCTCCATTGCTATTAATCATAGAGCCTAGACATGCAAAGTTTTCTTGACATTTACCAGGTGCAAATTCCAGAGGGGCATTCTACAGTAGTAGTTTGTCCACCTCGGATCTTTAGTGATGTTCCCAAAACTGTTTTAGAAATAAGGCTTATAGACAGATGCACTCCGACGTTAAAGGAAGCCCATTAATAGTCTATACTTTTGGTCAGGAAGACAGTATCATCTTGTCTTCCCACAATGGGTTCCTGGAACCTGGACGAGGAGGACACTGCAACCAAACCACACATGCTTTATGCATTGCAATACGCTTCAGGCAGGAAACATTTGCCAGGACAGTGTCTAGTGTTGTGCTTCGTCAAAGAACAATTTCTACAAAGTGGAATTAGCTGGTCACAGTCCTGTGCCTACCAGGCATCACTAGCAGCTGGATGAGACAAACCATTTGCCAAGCAACTATTATTTGCTCTCCATGCAAGATGTGGCCCTAAGCTATGGCTGGAGCGATGTCTAAAGGTTCATATTTTCTGCATAAAAAGGCAGCTGACACTTTGTGTCGCGGTTTACAGCTAAGCTGGCCTTTCAACCCGTCCCGATTCAAGCAACCCCTTAATTGGTAACCTTTTACAACAAGGTTGTTATCTATCAGCCAGGCAGTTTAAAGCAGTGTCTACACAGTAAACAAGATGACAAAAGACTGTCCCCCCTCATTCAGCCTAAGCCATACAGCACTAGTGACCAGAGTTCAGATCAGATGACCAGTACCGCACTGTTTCCCAGAGCTTTATACTCCATTGTGATAATCGTCTTTAAGTTTTATTAGTGCAGACATGTCTCCAACAACACCACTTACAATCGGACCCTAGTGTTTACATGCCCCATGCAGCAATATTTACAACAGCATATATATATAATATATACACACACAGTGCAGACATGTCTCCAACAACACCACTTACAATCAGACCCTAGTGTTTACATGCCCCATGCAGCAATATTTACAACAGCGTATATATAATATATACACACACAGTGCAGACCTGATAAAGAGAACACAGGGGAGACCCAAGATACAGTTCTTATCAGAAATTCATCTTATCCGAGTATCAAAGAAAAAATGTCAGGGATAAACTGTTGTTCAGAAATTTGACATGCAAAATCGCATTCTGCATTGTATGTATACATATATGTATGAGTGTGTGCACATACATGCGTACTTAGTCATAAACGCAGGGGGTTGAAACCTCCACCATTGTGATGTGTGTATATTAAGTGTCAGCACAAAAACTATTACAAAAAAGTGTGTATATATGAATATACAATCGAGTCTGGATAAGTAGAAGTTGCAGGGACCTAAGAAAATGCTTTCACATATCCAGACAGCACACGCAATAAATAAACTTGCCTAGACTAGGCTGGTCATGTTGACTTAACCGAGTTCAACTATATAAATGTGTGTGTGTGTATGTACACATATATACTTGCAATATAAGAATGAGTCACTACACTTACCGGCCAACGTCAATAGCAAAGTCTCCTCGGATGGTCCCAATAGGGGACTCCCGTGGGTTTGTAGCACCAAGCATCTTTCTGCCCACGCTCACGACATCTGTGCCTTCCCAAACCTTAACAGGATTCATAAGAAACCATTAAAATGTGCTTTGGAAAAATAAAATTAATACACAAAAATGCCAGGCTACACAAGCCTGATTTACTATTTGGAGCAATATTCAAGAGAAATATTAAAAGTTAATTGCATGTCTGGGGAGTCGCCAGGGCGTAGCGACTAGACGCTCGTGTGCGGATCAGGTCTGGCAGAGCCAGACGTGTTTTTTTCAAAAAGGACCTCGACTCCCAGGTTGACATAGCCTTGTGTGGGTACCAGGTGCAGTCCCCAGAAAGTAAAGGTGGCCAGAGTGATGCTGACCACATCACCCATCTTAGGTCTTTTGGTCTGTTACTGGACATTGCAGAACTAACATTTTTTGGCTGCTTTTCCTTGCAAAGTTACATTTAAATTGCCTCTGTTTCTGTATGGTCAGCATTCGAAACCAAATCAAAATTGTCTAATGCTGTATTGCCTGCAATTGGGATCACACCCTGGCATTACGAAGCTCATTCACAACGCATAAGCCACTTTCCTTAAAACTATAGTAACCAGAACTGTACTCCGAGATATTTTAGTTAGATCATATTTATATGTCAGTTCATATTTTAAGAGGTAGAAAAAGATTAAAGTGGGAGGACAACATTAAGAGATGGACAAAAGGGGATAGGCTGATGCAGAACATGGACACTGCAAACCATCCAAGGAGGCTATCTTTTAACTAACTCAGCTGGGACTGTAACAAGAAAAAATATTCTCCTTAGCCAGTTATCAGAACCCAATCCCTTATGGTGTGATAACTACCCATGTCACATGAAAACCTTTCAACAAGGAGAAAAGCTCCTTACAGAGAAGGAAACATTTGTTCTATGAAAAAGAAAGCTCAAACTTAGTAATCCTGCAGCAGGTGTTTCAAGATATGCCCAGCAAATCTGACAATTAGGAAACCTTAACACATTAAGGTGACATTCCAGTTTATGGCGCATGACCAAGTAGTAGAAGACCTATGCTGCATTAAATTTTATGCATTGCCAAATTCACATTCATCAGCTGTAAACTCTAATCAACGGTTCTGGTTATCCGTCCAACCCCAGACTTTTAAGTCTTGTTCCAAAACCTGCGAGTCACATATACACACATTTCACAAGTTTTGCTTATTTGTATGCAGATTCTTGGTGCCTTGCCTCTAGGGCAAATGACTTCAAAAGATGCCCCCAGTTAGTTGAATCCTATGACATGCTTGCCAGGCAGGTAGTGGGTCTATTCCATTCAGTGCTGTCACCAACTTCATTCAAGAATTTATTTCAAGTTTTTAATTCAAGGTAGTTACTGCGCAACAGCATGTTTTAAAACATGTACCAAAAACAGTTTTATAATTTAAAAAAAAATATATAAATAGCAGTGTCACAAACTAATTTCTCAACCGGTTATCCTCCGAATAATGGTTCCAAATTATCAAGGCTAAGAAAATACCCTAACAGGGTCTCAATCATTTGCAAATTGCATACTTATTTTTAGCGAATACGCAACATACCATAGCCAGCACTCCTCTGTAAAACGGTCCCAAATCATCGAGGGTGTCAACGGCTACGACACTGGGTGCTAGGTTCAACTTCTCCCCTGGGTCCTAGGGTTAGGACCAGGAGTATTAGAATTACGACACCGGAATCTGTCACAACACTGGAACAGAAGCACTAGTCGTGCGTTGTTTACTGAACAATTAGCGCAGTTTCCTATCGGCACAGTTACAGGCATTAAGGCCCTGTTAGAGTATTTTCTTAGCCCCGATAATTCGGGACTGTTATTCGGAGGATAGCCTTAACCTGCGATTAATCAATAGGACATGTTTCAAGTCATTTATATAAATAGGGAAATATCTCACCATTGCAAATACAGGGCCTGAGCTCATGTATTCGATGAGACCAGGGAAGAATGGCTTGCTGGACAGCTCAGCGTAGTGGTTGTGCAGAAGATCCTTGGATGGCTGCAAAAAGAAAATCAGTATTTTAACAGGTTCCACCACTGAGACTATACATATATATATATATAGAGTCACAAACACAGTAAGAACAACAGAAAGAATGACAGAATGGTTTCCCATATCAGGTGTCACACAGGGATGCGTCCTCTCACCATTTCTACTCATCACTTACATGGAAAGAATACCACAGGAGACAAATACAGACACTGAAGGAATCAATGAACTTCCTGGCTATCCTCCGAACTTCGGGCACTAAAGATAGCGGCCAAAAAATATTCTTTCGAGCCAGTCACGTGACTTAATTTGCGGTTCTCCTGCGACTACCAACACATGTCGCTCACGCGGTGTGGATTGGGGCTAAACTAGATGGCTAGTACCCACAGGCAAAGCTTCAGGAGATGCCGAAGCTACTGTTCGTGGGTCCTAGCCATCTAGATTAGCCCCAACCACACCGCGCCAGCGGCGCAGGGGACTCATGGCTGTGGTCGCCGGGAAACTGCAAATTAAGTCGCCGGAAGTGCGTAATTGACACATGACTGTGGCTCAAAAGGATATTTTGCGGCAGCCATCTTTAGTGCCCGAAATTCAGAGGATAGCCAACTTCCTTTGCAGATGATCAATGTCTGCCTGGCTATTATTGAGGAAATTATTTTGGTACAGTGATGACTGGGCATAAAAATAATCCTGGAACTAAATCTGTAGTAGCTTTGCCAGCTATATCCACACTTAACAGTAAACATAAAAAAGCATCAACGGTCATAACTTGCTTTATAAAAATAAAACACACAAAAACAAATTCTTAGCTTTCAACATTTATATTTTATCAAGTATGCAACCAGTAGCTAAAAATAAGTCCCCATATGCTGAAAAGTCATGTCAAGGTCATTCTCGAACAAAGATATTGAATTTAGTGTGTAGCATTTCATGGTTGACTTGCATAATGCAAAGGATTTAGTCAACCAGAAACAGTTCGAAATTGCAAACTGCATTTTATACAGTCTAGATATGGCAATGGCATGATTCAGCTGCCACCATCCAAGTTGTATTTGGTCGGAATATCTACAGACTACTACATTAGGCAAATTTGTTAATAATTGGCTTTGGCTTGCAGGCTGACTCGAGCAAAAACTTAATTTGGCTCTCCTAACAACTTCTACATCCGCAGTATTGCGGCCTGAAATATCTGTTCGGGGCGCAGTCCAATTAAAAATATGCCAGCTCCGTATAACGAAACAAATGCTTTAACAGGGTCTCAGCGATATGTTACTTGCGGACCTGTTTCTTATTGTTTCTGATTACCGTACAATAAGAGACGCACGCAACACTACAGATAGTAGCAGACGACGACAATAGCGACCGTTAGCACTTTCCATTGCCGAAATTTCTGCCGACTAACAAATCGCGGCAAATCTAGGATCAGCTCGGAAACAAATGCTCTAACAGGCTTACAGCGATATGTTACTGGCGGACCTGTTTCTGTGACTATGGCTCACCGCATTCTGCCATCTAGTTTAGTCCCTATCCGAGCCACTACATGCGGCGCGGATAGGGGCTAAACTAGATGGCTGGGACTCACGAGCGGCAGCTACCGCATGTCCTGAATCTTCCTCTAATTACTTTGCTCGTGAGTCCCAGGCACCTAGTTTAGCCCCCCATCTGCACCGCGCATACACTCGGCGGTGAGTTTAATCGCGTTTTGCGCATGCCGACAAGTCTTACATCTACCGGAGCTAAATCAACCGGAAGAACAGTATTGCTAATCTGCGTGGGAGCGCGGAGTCTACCCGCCATATCGCTTTCATCGTCTGTAATGTCTCGAAATTGTCAACGGTCGTTTTTATCGTCTGCTAGTATTGTCTGCAGAAAACGCTCGAAATTGTCACCTTGTCAATTTTATCGTCTGCTACTATCGTGTCTCGTGACATTGTAAGGTGTTCCTAGTTTTGCTGCAATTTGTTCCTCTACGAACTCGGAACTGGAACAAGTCTGTATTTTTAATTGGACTGCGCCCCGAACGGATATTTCAGACCGCATTCTGCGGGGTAGAAGTTCAGAGGAGAGCTTTTAATTTAATAAATGGGTAGCTGAACGTCGTGGGAAGTATAAGTATAATTGGTAAGCATGTATTTACCACATTACCCATTCAGTGCTATATTCCATCTATAAAAGTAATAAAACTGGGTCCAACATCATGTGCCATGCATGAGAGTGAGCACTTACTAACAATGAAAGCTATACTGATTCATGTGTACTACTAGCCATCTTATTCTTGTTCTAGAGTACAAACTAACGATTTAGATTTTGCAATTTCTCTCCAGAGTTACTATGCAGTTGTGATAAATTATAAATAACAAACTTGTCAATTTCGAGAAAAAGAAATCAGTCGTTACAAAAGTGTTTCAAACTGTTACTGATCACAAGTGATGTTATTTTAGTTAATCTAATAAGTTAGTTTAATAAATAAAATTCCTGGAGTTTTCAATTAATTTTTACAGGCTACTAGTACTACTACAAGAGTAACAGAAAAGCGGGTTCAGGTCACTGTAAAGTGATGACGATGGATGACCCATGAAAGTGACCGCTGGCGTCAGGCCACGACAGCGACACGCTTGGCTAGCTATGCCTCGTGGGTGCATTTCAGAATTATTATTGCAATTTCAAAGAAAACAAAAGTATCCATAATATTTTTACCACTACTGACGCAAACTGTTTTTATGATTAAAATGAACATTAAGGCAATGATGAATAAAAAAAAAAAAAGTGATAAACTGTATCAATCTCTATGTCGACACCTAAGCTCCAAAGCACACAACAGCAAACACCTACCCAGACGAATTTGCCGGCTACCAAGTTTGTAACCACGCTTCTCAAAACGACTGATGATTTCACCAACAAGTCCTCTCTGAACGCCATCGGGTTTGACGGCAAGGAAGGTACGTTCGGCTCTAGGATCTGCCATGTTTCGATTAAAAAGTGAGAAGATGGAGAGGAGCGTGGCAACCATGCGAATGAAACCTGACAGGAAAGACGGCCGGCGGGTCATGTGACTGATTCCATGGGTCATGCAAGGCCATCTAGCGGCCAGGCAAGGGGAGCCTACTTTCATTACTTACGCGTGTGTCTGTGTGTGGCGCACGCGCGAGTTTTATGCATGTGTGTGTATAGTAAAGGACTCTTTCCATACATTCAGGCGTGTTGGGCATACAGGTCAGTGATATGGTCAGCAGCACGCCGGCCGCCTTTACTTCCCATGTATATATATATATATATATATATATACACACATATATATGTATATATAAAGGTAATAATCAACTACTGAAACAATTTAACATTGATGGAAACGATTTATAAACTAATTATAAGGAAAAAACATTGGCAACAAAAAGCAGCTAAAACAATTATTAACTTTGCATTTTGTTTTTAAAAAAATGTATGCAATAAATCCATGTAATTGGAAGTAAGGAAAGAATTATCGCGTGGTACATAGGGCCAATTTTAACATTTGGTTGTGAATCCCGGACAAGCCAAATAATTTCTTGAGGCCTCTGAGATGTGGTTTTACAGAAGAATCCTTAAAATTCCTCGGACAGCAAAAAAAAAAAAAAAAGAGCAACACAGATGGTTGGAAGGATGCGAGGGATTGAAGTCAACATATAAAATATATCAGAAAGAGACAGTCCTCATTTCTAGTCATGTTATGAGAAGAAATTAACTGAAACATAATGTGACCACTAGAATAAATATGTGGAAAAAAGAAACAAGGAAAGACAGCGCGAGAAGGTTTTTGAGAGCCTTTTGTTATGACATAGAGGGGTGTCAACATACGAACTGATACACGCAGATGCACACTGAAGATTGTGGAGAGGCATGATCGTCCACGCCAGTCGGAAAGGCAATTGATGATATATATATAATATATATGTACATACATATATATGTAAATAATAAGAAAGAGAGAGAGAAAGGCAGTTGTCTGCCGGCGGCATAGACGTCATAGGTTTATATTCGCACTGAAATCATCATCATCATCTTCATCATCAGGTGCCTTGCCGACTGGCGTGGGCGATCATGCCTCTCCATAATCTGCGATCTCCTGCAGCATGTATCAGTTCGTGTGCCGACACACCTTCATTCCATGCAACAAGACTGTCAAGCATCTTCTCTCGTTGTCTTTCTCTCTCCCTCCTTCCAATGATCTTTCCAGTGGTCACAACATGTTCTATTTTCCCTCTTCTCATAACATGGCCGAAAAATGATGACTGTCTCCTTCTGATGTCTGTGATAAGTTGTCTTCGGGCTCCCGCCTCTTTCAAAACCTCTTGGTTGCTCTTTTTGGCTGTCCAAGGTATTCTAAGCATTCTTCTGTAAAAACCACATCTCTGAGGCCTCAAGAAATTGTTTGGCCTGCCCACCGATTGTCCAGGATTCACTGCCATATGTTAAAACTCGATGTATGTAGCAAGCAAGAATTTTTTCTAACTCTCAGTGACAAGGATATATTGCATAAGATGCTTTTCAATTTTTTTAATGCAGTTTTTGTCTGTCCTATTCTGTTTCTTAACAATGGACTGAACTCTTAGAATCGACCTTGTCTCCTAGTTCTACCCAGGCGCTTAGGGGTATTGAGAAACGTTCTTAAAGTAACGGTTGCCGACATGTTGTTGGCCACATCAGCCACCGTTCATTGTTTGGTCTCACCGGTTTTGATTGAAATGTGTACACATATGACTTCTGATCAAAACGAACGCTAGGCACGGTCACTGTTGTGAGCCGTGGCAAATGTTTTTGCTTCTCCCAGACGGTGGCCGGTGCATTTTTGCTCCATTTGTAGACTGAAAGGATAGTTTCGTCGCACAGCTTCTGATTTGAGTGCATGGCGTGACACTGTGAGCTGCGGATTTCATTTGGAATGTATTTCTATTGTGACCAACGTGGTGGTTTGAATTGTACGTCAGAAAATGGCGCGATGCCTGTTGTCGCAATATTGGTGGTGCCATTATGTGATTAAAATTGATCATGTGTGCAACTGCTGATCTATTTGTGACTTCTGCTACCATCCCTGATGAACTGCATTTCTTATGTCGGACTGTTTGTGTTAGCACTTCGGATGGCTACCTTATGCTTTTAAATCATGTGTATGCTAGTCTGTAGCAGTTTGTCAATCTTTCCACAAGGGACTGGGATAAACATTCTGTGTGTTTTTCTTTGGCACAGGAGCGGAGCAACTATGGGTAACCAGTTTGCTATGAAACTGAAACTAAGATTACCAGAAAATATATCTCTAAGAAAAACAAACCATCGGCAACAACAAAGGCGTGTATACTGAACGGAACATACAGTTGTCATGATTTTAACATTCAAAATCTTTAGAATATGAGGGAAACTTTTCAAATTGCATACAAAAATACCTTAGGTTTCAACAATAAATTGACAGTTATTTTGTATCTGTCACCAAATGCTTTTAGGTGTATTGGCTTTCTTGTCAACCAATAAAAACGCTCCGTCAAATAACCATGCGATTCTTACATAGCAACCGCTCCGTTTCTACAGTGGTGCTTTTATCTTCAGCGGGTATTCCCTCCCTGGTTGTATTCTTAGCAGAGACGCAAAGGTTAAAAAAAAAAAGGTAAAGTGGGATACAATTACCTACCTACCGACTTTTTCCTCAGCTTCACACACACACACACACACACACCCACACACACCCACACACACACCCACACACACACCCACGCACACCCACCCACCCACACACACACCCACACACACACACACACACTTGTGATTCTTTACAATGAAATTATAGATAATCTGACTAAAAAAACACTTGTTTGTTTGTTTGTTGTTTGTTTGTTTGTTTGTTTGTTTTAGTATCCAGAAGCCATGAGTTGTTAACCCTTAGGCTCGGTATTATAGATATCGCAACCTGATTCCATTTTAAATACCATAAATCTGAGAGAAATGTGGCTTTTCTGCCCAACCCCGGGAGTGAACTCGGACCACAAGGAGTTCGTCACCCGCTCACCGCGCAATCCGGTTTAGCCAACTACGCTAGAGAAAGGGGCATCCGTTGACTTAAAAACAACCTTGTGAACATTACAAGCAAGACATGTCCATACCATTGTAAAAACTACATTTAGCTTTATGTAAATAAAATTTAACCCAGAAACCCAGACAACACTATCAATAAAGGGTGCCTTGTAAAATAATGAAACATTTAATGTGAATATGTTTTGTGTACATATAATTTGCGTGCTATGTTTTTGTAAAAAAAAAATTTTTTTGAAATGTATGTCTAATTTTTGAGAGCATGTATCTTGCCTGTGACTACAAACGGATGTGAATCGTGGACTATCTCTCAGTCCTTAAGAAAGAGAATAGGGCTTTTGAGCTGAAATGCTAAAGAAAAGTTCTCAGAATATCTTGGACAAAGAAGAGGAGAAATACTGACATCCTGAAAGATCTTAACATCAAGGAAGATTGGCTAATAAACAGCACCCTGTCTCGGAAGCTTAAATGTTTAAGTCATATTAAGCGCCACGACAGATTGGAAATAATTATAGCAGAGGGCATGGTACCAGGAAGGAGGGGTAGTGGCCGACTGGCACGAAGATGGGCACAGGATATAAGTGACTCCTTGAGTATGAATTACATGAGGCGGGAGAGCTGGTGAGATTCGAGTTTCTTTCAGGCGGACCGTTATGAAAGCGACTTCTGCAAAGGACCTGCTACCTGGTGAGGATGATGTCTAATTTAATGAATACCGAGATAAAGAGAGAGAGAGAGAGAGAGAGAGAGAGAGAGAGAGAGAGAGAGGAGAGAGATGTGATATAGGGGAGGCCCCGAAATAATTAGAGAAACAATATGGGGCGCTCCTAAAAAAGAATTTATGGAGGGGATCGCCCAATACAAAAAAGGGTATCTCGGTCATATTAGGGGAAGTGACTCCTGAGTTAACCGCCATCTTGGGGACAATCTTGACCGGCGCGCCAGCCACCTATAACTTCCACCCACCCATCCATCCATCTATCCACCCATCCATCGAGCCATCCATTCATCCACCTATTCATAATGTGACATTTTAGCGCCTATACTACTGCCTGCGCATCTTTGATTGTATTTTTATGTTCTGCTGTGATATCTGTGTGGTTTGCCTAAGCATAGTCTTCCATCAGTACATTTGCAGCATTTTCCTGTGTTAGCATGTCGTTATCTTGTTTTGGAGTTGTTTGTTACTGGGCTCTTCATTGTTCATGGCCTTTACTAATTTCCACAGTTTGTTTCCATCCTTGTCTAAATCAAGGTTTTCTATTTGTTTTTTCCTCGACAGGAATCTCTAGTTGTTTGATTTCATGTCCCCTTGTATTTTGTTGAGACGGTTTTCAGTGAACGGTTTGCTTTCTCTCTCTCTCTCTCTCTCTCTCTCTCTCTCTCTCTCTCTCTCTCTCTCTCTCTCTCTCTCTCTCTCTCTCTCTCTCTCTCTCTCTCTCTCTCTCTCTCTCTCGGTTTGTAAATGTCTTCTCTTGCACCTCTTAGAATGCATCCATAGACTACATACAGTATATTTCTTTGTTTAGACCAGTGTTCCTCAACCTGTTTACACCCGCGGCCCACCAGAAACAAAGGACATTTATTTATTCGCGACCCACCTGACAGCAAATCAAATACCGATAACAAAAACAAATGTACTCGTAGATAGCAGTCATTTGGATAAATTCGATGCCACAAAATACAGTTCTGTGCTAATGAGGTATCTGCTGCTGCTCATGGGTGTGGGATTCTATGGGATTGAGCGTTGTTTCAGGCATTTGTACTGGTTTCTGTTTTCATACTGATTTGTTAATCCTACAGACTCCGTTCAATCCTGGAAAAGAGAAACTATCCTATCCTACTTAACATGCATATGCGTCTAATACGTGAACAGACACTCTGTTCTCTATCATCGTGGGAGAAACAGATTTACACCACACTTACAAAGCGGTTTTTTTTCCTTCTGTTTCA